AAAAAAAAAAAAAAAAAAAAAAAAAAAGAGGTGGTAAGAATGAAATCTCCAAAACTGTGAAGAAACAGGAAAGGGTAAAGACAGAGACTTGGTCTTGGCAGGGAGAAAGAGGAAACAGTAAAGACACGAGCCAGGTAGACAAGAGGCAGCCTAGTTATGGGAACCAAGCAGGGGAAAATTCTAGAAAGGTGGTCTGACCTTCCAAAGAGGTCTGAAAGGTGAGGATTACAACCGAAGGATTACAAGATCATTGCTGATGATCTTCCAGAGATCCAGTGGCAGAGAGTGGAGGGTATGTAGGCAGATTTTCAGGGGTTAAAGTGTGCGTGGTTTGTGAAGAAGAAAGAGCAGAATGTGTCTGGGGGTGTTTCCAGTGAAGAGCAAGGATAGAGTCACGTGAGGGAGCAGAGCTGAGCGAGGGTTCTTCTTAGATGGGGGACCCTGAAGGGAAAGAGCCGGTGGAGAGAGAGAAACTGAAGATGTAAAAGAGAAGAGATTGTTTGGATTAAGTTTCCCAGGCAGGAGGTGGAGAAGAAATGAAGGGCACGTACCGGCGGGTTTGGTGGACAAGAAAGAGAAGGCAGCCAAGGAGCTCGCCAGCATCTACCTGAGGTCAAAGATGGACGGAGGAGGTGGCAGGAGGTCAGTTAAGGGTTGGGAGGGTGACAGTTTGCAAGAAGCCTCCCAGGGAACATAGCCAGGTGTCAGCAAGAGATCGGCCAGGAGACAAGTGCTGTTTACTTATGCTGGATGTTGTCTGCAGAATTTTGTGAATTTTATCTAGCAATAAGTAATTAAAATGAAGGAAGGGGGTCTGTTCAATCTGCCCGAGTGTGGTGGAAGGTCCAGGGAGTTAGATGTTCTAGTTCTGATTCTAAAGCAAGATGGAGAGCTATCAGTTGGTAGGGACAGGGCCACCGCATACAGGTGTGCACATCGCACCTGCGCAGGGCGCCCTTAGAGTTACACACACCTGGCTCATGGGCTGACATTTCTAATTTATGTGCAGGTGCTGCCTACTCACCAAGCTGTGCACTGGTAGCCCTGACTCTGCTGTCTTTTTCTAATTTGTACCAAGGTGCGATACGGCCCAGCCTTGGCTCTGTAAATGCAGGTGCAAAGACTAATGACTAGGATTGGGGGATGGGGGAGACTTGAGGGGCTGGATTTCAGAGTCAGAGTGAAGGGCTGGTTCCATAGGGATGTGAAAGAGGCAAGAGGGAAGCCTGTGTGGTCAGAAAAGGAATTTCAGTTATTAATGGAAGTGAAACTGTTTTGAACAATTTGGCTTAAGGTGAGGTCATGTTGGTGAGTGGCTAAAATGAGTATAGACGAGGGTCCTTGTCAAATTGAAATAACAGCTTTATGTTAACAGATCAGAATACTTTGACTGACATTAGGCGATGTCTCAGGCTGCACTGGAACTTCCTGGTAGTGGCGGCCACTGTTCAACACATTCGACAAGTATTTGCTGATTTCCTACTATGTGCTCCTAGATGTATGAGATCCAGTGGTGAACAAAACAGGCCAAGGTCCTGCAGTTTTAGCACATGCTTTAGATTTTATGTTTTAATGACAAAGATGTAACTGTGTACACAGAGGTGACCTGACCTGAAAGACAGGTTTTATAACAGGGTTTTACTGTACTTGGCGCACTGATACCCACTCTGGGAACCTGCCACACCTCTGTCACCCTGAACACCAAAAACAGCACATTGACTACAGCTTTACCTTCAGGTATCCAGTTGACCTAAAAGTGAAGTAACAAAGGGCATGAGTAAATGCTTTAAGGAAAGTAAAGTCAGTGTTGGCCATCCTTGTTACTGGAGGCACGGGGAGGTCAGGGGTAGAGAGGACCAACTCCACTGGAATGGACTGATACGGGCTGGGATTCGGAGGCTGGGGGTGGGCAGCCTTGGAGAGCCTAGGCCAGGCTCGGGGTGGAATGGGTCCTACAGCCATGGGGGCGGGGGGCAGGGGGAGCAGCAAGCAGGAGGCACTCAACTAAAATTCTTGTCGGCCCAGGTTCCGGTGACTTTTGTGGACATTGCTGTTTACTTCTCGGAGGATGAGTGGAAGAACTTGGATGAATGGCAGAAGGAGCTTTACAACAACCTGGTCAAGGAGAATTACAAAACCCTTATGTCCCTGGGTAAGGACACCTTTCTGTCCTCTCTGGCAAGCAGTCTCTGGAGAGGGCTGTGAAATGCTTAATGATTAGTAATGATTAATGATTAAGAATGATTAATAGTCCACATTAACACCACCTGGGCAAGGTGTTTCATGTTTATAACTCATGGAAACTCCAGACACTACTTGCTTATGATGCTAGTAAGACAGAACAATTTATAATAGGATGAAAATCTGAAACCCAGGACCAGGGCCTTTGGCCATGGAATTCAATGCTACACAGCCGCTGTTTTGGAACACAGTGAAATAACCCCAACAGCCTGGCGTAAGCCACAGTGGGTCTTATGGTGGCTTTCAGAAACCAGCTGTTTCTACACTAGAAATCTGGGAGTCTATTGACTTGTCTTTAGGGTTCCTCGTAAGAGATTACCTGCATCAGTCGCATCACTGGCACCATGCAGGGTCACTCAGGTAGAGACAGGGAGATGGGGTCGCTCCAGCGCTCTCCCCTCACCTTGGTCTGGGTTTACTGGTCAGCTTCCCTCAGTCCTTCCTTGCCTTCCAGATGCCGAGGGCACAGTGCCCAAGCCAGATGCTCCTGCCCAGGCTGAGCCCAGGGAAGAGCCTTGTGTGTGGGAGCAACGTCACCCCGAAGAAAGAGAAATCCCCACAGCCCCGGACACAGGTGATGGCAGCTGAAGATGGTGCCAGGTCCCGGGAAGGGCACAGAGGAGAGCCAGGTTGTGCACTGCCACCACTGGGAGGCGCTCCCATGTCAGCAGGGGCGGCTCCTGACTTGCTCCCGGGCCAGTTCTGCCTAGTGAGATTTGACGGTCACTTATAGGAAGAGGTCTCAGGCCTGAAATTGCACAGCGGCTATTTGTCTTCTGGTTTGTTAAAGCCTTGTAGCTCTGGATCCACCGTAAGCCGGGTGGAGAGATGAGGAGGGGCCTGGGCTTGCGACACCTCCCAGGCCGTATAGGGAACTAAAGTGTAAGGCCCGAGGCCTGGGAGCAGCCCAAGGCCCTGGGCCAGGCTCAGGGTTGACAGAGTAGGTAGCAGGGAGTCTACAGTGGCTGTGTGTGCAGCCGGCCGTGGCCCAAGGCTTATCACTGGGCTGTAATCTGCAGTGTCACCACCTCACTCTGACCCAGACACACCCCTCCTATGCAGACTTGCCCACAAGGCTTCTTCCTCACTCCAGAAGGAATCATAAGTCCCAAAGAATCCAGTTCCCTGAGAACATCGCACTTGATCAGCTTCACTGAGATGGAAGATTCTAGGGTCCTAGTCCCAGCTCTGCCTCCAAGGTCTTTCCTCGAGGCCTCAGAACTGCTGAGCAGCGTTGGTCTTGGTGAAATCAGAGGACTCCAACTGTGTCCTCTGCCGGGCTGTGTGAACTGTCCCCCTTCTGGGCCCTCTGTCCTTCCTTGTTTTTAAGTAGAGAGCATTTCACTGAAACTTCACCTAGCAGGTAGGTCTCCCGGCAGTGATCTTTCCCTCCTCCAAGTCTTTTTGTATTATTGGATAATAATGGACCATAAAGTTCACTCTTTTAAAGTATACAGTTCAGTGGTTCACAAAGTCATGCAACCATCACCACTATCTCATTCCAGAATATCTGCATCGTAAGAAACCCCGTAACCACTGGCAGTCACTCTCCCATCCCCAGCAAGCACTAATCTACTCTCTGTCTCTGTGGGTTTGCCTATCCTGGACATCCCACCTAAATGGCTTCTTCCCCGTCTTCATCAAGCACTGCAAATGTCTGGGCTCAGCAGCTGTGGTAACAGTACCTAGTACTGTGTGGCAGCTTTTTACACTGAAAGCACTGTAGCCCCAGCAGTTTCACTGAGTTATCAAATCATCACAGTGCACGATAGACCAGGGACCACTGTGTCCATTTTACATATGAAGAGGGCTGACTGAAACCCAGAGAAGTTAAATGACTCATCCACCGAGTTGGTGGCAGAGTTGAAACCAGCATCCCTGCCTTCAGATTCCTCAATCTAATCTCTCGCCTGTTGCCTGAGCTGTCTCCTGCCAGGCACCGGTGCATTGTGTTTTAGTATACCATAAGAGGAAAATGTTCCATTTGGAGCTCTACACAGGGGATATGTCATCGTCTTTTATGTATAAAGATGCTGCGCATTATCTATCCAAGGATAGGACGTGGTTGTGCCTCTCTGCCCAGCCCAACTTCTCACTAATCATATATATACATGTGTGTGTGTATCTGGCCACAGCTTGGCCAACTCTTTCTGACTAGGGTGGAAAACAAAGACAAATGACTCCTACACGGAAGTCAAACTTGAGGCCCAGTCCTGGTTAGCATCCAACCAGGCAACGCAGCATGGGGTAATTTCCAAATTCTCTCTCCAGTCTCATCACGCCCCATTTTGCTGCTTGCCTATCCCTTTTTCTTGAATGTTGGTTGCTTCTCTGCTTCTGGCACCTTCTGCTCCTTGGGGTCCCCCATGGTTCCAACAGGAACCTGAGACCCCTGTGCTCTCCCCTGGCAAGTTTCATCAGCTAGCCTCTTGACCCCAGAACGTCCTGTTGACCATCATGCAGGAAAAAGACACCAACAATGTGATTCTCTGTCCCCAGGAGCAGAGCCCTTGGTGCCTGCACAGGATACATCCTCCCAGGTGAAGAGAGAGGAAGCCCTGTGTGTCCGGGGTCAGCGGGGCCTGGAGGAAAGAGCTATCCCCACGGAATCCATTACTGGTGAGTGAGCCTCATGGCCATTCAGACCAGGGAGAGGCGGGGAGAGGCTCAGCATGGGCCACAGGTCCCTGGAGTCATCTGTTCTGGGTGCCAGGCCAAGGAGCCAACGTGGCTATGGAAGAGCTGTGGACCCAGGACGGGGTTAAGACAGGATTTCTCCAGGGTACACAAGCATGGCACTTGACATTGACGATTTGTTGGTACACCTGGGCTTAGCTTGTTCTGTTTCCTCTCTTCTGTGTATTATCAGTTTTTAGCTGTTCCTTCCTCCCCTTTACTAAAAATACCATGGCAGGGCTGAGCCCGTGGCGCACTCGGGAGAGTGCGGCGCTGGGAGCGCAGCAGCGCTCCTGCCGCGGGTTCGGATCCTATATAGGGATGACCGGTGCGCTCACAGCGCTCACGGGCTGAGTGTGGTGCGGCCAGTCTCAAAAAGGACAAAAAACAAAACAAACAAACAAACAAAAATACCATGGCAGAGTACTAAGTGTAAGGCACTTGGCTCTGTGGGTGGGGGAATATACAGTGAGACCTGCTCCCTGACCGGGAAGAGCTTCCAGTGTTTTAAACCAGTACCGATGGGCTGGTAGTGGGCCAGGCCCCCACATGCCTGTGGTCCTGAGGGGAGTTCCTCGTAGCTGGGGTTCCAGCTGGACTCTGGTTGGACATGGGAATTCTGTTAGGGCAGATGTGTGTATTAGTCTGAGTTCTCCAGACAAACAGAACCAATAAGGGTGTGTGTGTGTAAAAAGCGAGAGAGAGATTTATTTTAAGGAATTGGCTTGAGTGACTATAGAGGCTGGCAAGTCCAAAATTTACAGGGCAGGCTGGCGGGATAGAGACCGAGGAAGAGCTGATATTGCAGCCCGAGTGTGAAGGCCTCTGCTGCGGAGTCCCCTTTGCTTGGGGGAGGCCCGTCTTTCCATTAGGCCTTCAGCTGGTTGGACAAGGTCCACCCACATTATGGAGGGTAATCTGCTTTACTCAAAGTCTTCTGATTTAAATGTTAATCTCATCTGAAAAAATACCTTCATAGAAACATCTAGAATAATGTTTCACCAAATGTCTGGGTACCGTGGCTGAGCCAAGTTGACACATAAAATTAACCATCACAAGATATATTAACATACTGTAGCTCTTTACTTATCCACAGGTTAGAGCTCCACAAATCTCATCCCCCCCTTAGTCAAAGCCTCAAACCCATAGGTAAGTGATAATAGTGTCTGGGTAGAGGAAAGCCCATTCACTTCCCATCAGGCATGTTCCTTGAAAGCATCACAGCATTACTGTCTTTAAAGAGAGAGATAAGAAGGCAATAAAGGGTCAATTAGGTTTAATAGACTCTGTAAGAGAAAGAAAATGTAAGATCTTCTCTTCCATCTTAGAAAAATCCTGTCCAAATGATTAAGATAAAGGCTTCCTGGAAGGTGTCATTTTCCTGGAAACCCCCTTAGGAGGAAAACCTCTTCCCATGGTCGTCTCAGCACTAGAGGGGAACCTCATTCTGAGGAGTTCTATGTTCTTGAAGCACAGACAGACTCTTTTTCTTAACGTCACTGTTATGTCACTCCCCTGCAGTATCTATTTGCAGCAAAAGCTCCATTAATTGGGGTCAATTTAAACCTTTAGTTAATTAGACTAATTTAATTATGCCTATATCTGATTTGTAGGGGAAGGAGATAATTGCATGAAATCAGAGATTTACTCAAAGCACAAACTTGTGGCAATTTCATGTCCTCTAATGCCTTTGTTGCTCTTGTTCCCACGAGTAGACTCCCCAATTTCTGCCCAAGACCTCTTGTCCCGGATTAAACAGGAGGAACACCAGTGCGTGTGGGATCAGCAGGATTTGGCAGAGAGAGATATTCCCACAGACCCCAATTCAGGTGAGAAAGATGCCAGAGTGAATACCCAGGGCAACCAGCGTTTTTCAAAAGGAATTGTTAAATGGGTAATTTATTGTGTCAATGGAACTGATGCTAAAATTACTTCAGCACTGATTTTTGAACAATAAAAACAATCAAAAAGCTTCTAAAAGCTGTGTATATTTCTGTGCCGGAAAATAACATACATTTTCTGGAATTTCTCCTGAGGGAATGAATACTAGACTAGTTAGATGTCTCCTAAGACATTTCTGGCGAGTGTCCGGGCATTCAGGGAAGCGTGAAAGAACAGGAGAGAAGCTCCCCCTGCCGGGGCCTGTGTGTGTGTTCAAGTGTGTTTGCAGAGCTGGGGAAAACTGGTGTCATCCCACCTGGTAGTTATGACAACAAAGTCTCATCCCACCCGCTACACCAGGGAGAGGAGAGGAGAAGTAGGATCTAGGATTCCTTGTAGTTTGTCAGTTTTACAACAGAGAAATGTAGGAGACCCAGGGCAGGTGGAGAGCAGAGCCATCCTGCAAGGAGCCGTCAGGCTTCGCTGTGGTTCTTATCGGTGGCCTCTGGTCGCTGCCTCTGCCAGCACTGGTTTCTGAGTCAGACCAGCCAGCCATGGGCCCACAGGCCTTCAGAGTGGAGGCCTTCCTCTGGCCTGGCCTGGCCCCACGGGTTCCTCGGGCTCAGTGTACAGAGTCAGAAGCCCTGAGTTCTAATCCTGGCTCTGCTACTGCACAGACTTCAGGAGGAGCCTCCTCCTCTTTGTCCAACTCAAAATGTAGCACGCAGCAAGTGAGAGCCCATTTCAGAAGGCACTTTAGAGACTAACGAGGACGGCTTGTAAACATAGCACACATACCAAAACCGCCACACACCCTGCGAGCTGGAGCTTTGCATGTGATGGTTTTCTAACCTTTGATGGGGTGCCAGGCGGGATGAACAAAATCTAAGACTGCCTTCTTTCCATGACAACAGAGTCCCTCATCTCGGCACATGACATTTTGTCATGGATCAAGCAGGAGGAGCAGCCATACCCGTGGGGCCCACGAGACTCCATGGAAGGAGAGCTTGGATTAGACTCTGGCCCCAGTAAGTAATGTGGCTTCGCGGGCCCCTGGGCATTTGCTCTCAAGCTGAACGGCTGAGGCCTGAGATGAGGGGTGGTTGCCCGCCTCAGCCTATCCCTTCAGTGTGGTGTCTGTCAGAGGAAGCCTTTGAAAGGTCCTTACCAAACACTGTCCCCTTTCTTTTTTTTTTTTTAAAGATGACCGGTAAGGGGATCTTAACCCTTGACTTGGTGTTGTCAGTACAACTCTCAGCCAGTGAGCAAACCGGCCATCCCTATACAGGATCCGAACCCGTGGCCTTGTTGTTATCAGCACCGCACTCTCCTGAGTGAGCCACAGGCCGGCCCTATGTCCCCTTTGTTTTTGGAGCATGACAGGTGTATTTGTTTCCTAGGGCTGTTGTAACAAAATAGCACAGACTGGGTGGCTTAAACAACCGAAATTTATTCTTACAGTTCTACAGGCCAGAAGTCTGAGATCAAGGGGTTGGCAGGGCCACGCTCCCTCTGAAACCTGTAGGGGAGTCCTTCCTTGCCTCTTCCAGCTTCTGGTGGTTGTGGCCGTCTTTGGCATTCCTTGGCTTGTAGATACACTGCTCCAGTCCTCCATCTTCACATGGCGTTCTCCCTGTCTCTGTCTTCACATGGCTGACTTTTTGCAAGGATGCAGTCATACTGGATCATACTCCAGTGTGACCTTGTCTTAACTAATTACATCTGCAACAACCCTATTTCCAAATAAAGGCACATTCTGAGGTACTGGGGGTTAGGACATCAACCCACAGTGGCAGGGAAAGGAGAGAGCCAAGCCAGTGGTGCCTGAGGCAGAGCTGACAGCAGCAGGTGCCTCACGTGCTGGAAAACACTGCCCGTAGCACCCGAGTCAGCCCTGAACTGACATCCCTGTAGTTGTAGCTGGTGAAGAAGTAGCTGGTGAAGATACTGAAGCTCAAATAGGGAGAGGGTTTTTTCCCCTCGACAGGTATGGAACCAAACATCTCACCAGACTTGTGTCTCTTGGGCCTTTTTTTTTTTTTTTTTTTTTAAAAAAAAGATGACCGGTAAGGGGATCTCAACCCTTGGCTTGGTGTTGTCAGCACCACGCTCAGCCAGTGAGCAAACCGGCCATCCCTATATATGATCCAAACCCGTGGCCTTGGTGTTATCAGCACCGCACCCTACCGAGTGAGCCACGGGCCGGCCCAAAGATGGAAAGATTTTTTTTTTTTTTTTTGTCTTTTTCGTGACTGGTGCTCAGCCAGTGAGTGCACCGGCCATTCCTATATAGGATCTGGCCATTCCTATATAGGATCCGAACCCGTGGCGGGAGCGGCGCTGCGCTCCCAGTGCTGCACTCTCCCGAGTGCGCCATGGGGCCGGCACTCTTGGGCCTTTTTGAAGCTCCACTTATTGACCATTGATCTTAGGCATACGTTTATGGATTATTTAACACTTTTAGCATCAGGCCAATATTCCTTGCTAGATGCAGTACCATCACCTAGCCCTTAAGATGCCAACTTAGTGTCTTCCGGTTGATCAGAGTGTTTAAGAGATACCTAGACATGTGTTCCTTGTGCATACTCCTGATGTCCTGTAAGAGCTTAAAATCCATGTAAGACTGAGGGCAGGTTATTTCTGAATCTGATTGGCCATTTCAAACTCAGGTGAGTGGATCACACTCTCTGTGAGACCAACTTAGTTCAGATCTGAAAAAGTCGAGATGGGCTTGGAGGACCTGTCAAGAGACGGGAGAGGAATCAGTGCATGCCCGTTTTGAAAAAGAATTTATAGCAGTCCTCTTTCCAGCGGGAAAGCCAGGAGACTGACTGCAAGCACAGGAAGGAAAGATGGCAGCTAACTACAGAGTCCTGGGCCGGCCCAGTGGCGCACTGTGGTAGTGCACCGCTTGGGAAGCGCGGAGGTGCTCCCGCCGAGGGTTCGGATCCCACATACAGACCGGTTCCCGCTCACTGGCTGAGCGAGGCGCGGGGGCAACGCCGAGGGTTGCGATCCCGTTGCCGGTCCCGGTCCGGTACGGGGGCGACACTGAGGGTTGCGATCCGTTGCCGGACACGGAAAAAGACAAAAAAAAAAATAAAAAAAAAACTACAGAGTCCTCAGACCACATTTCTGACTCTGGCCTCAAAGGCATGGGGACCAGCTCATCAGACACTGTGCCAGGGAATGCTGCCCAAACCCCGTCCCTCAGGGCTACCTTCCGATCTTCCAGGTTGGCTAGGAGCACGTGGGCCTGGAGGAGCTGTTCCTGGGGACCTGGGCAGTGGTGGGAACGGACCTAGGAAGGGCTGTGGAGAACTCGCAGGGCTTTGCAAATTACCGAATCATTTTTCTTCTTCAGTTTCAATATCATGGCTCACAGAACCATGTTACCTCATGTTGTTTTATCTTTTTAGAAAGTTATTTAATTAATTTTTTTGGTAGCTGGCCAGTACAGGGATCGAACCCTGGACCTTGGTGTTATCGGCACCATGCTCTAACCAACTGAGCTAAGTTGTTTTATTTTGGGGAGGCCTTTAACCTACTTAGCATTTGGGAAGAAATGCCCAGAATTTGGGAGACAAGAATATCTGGAAGAGCTTTTCCTGCCTGGTCACTATAGGCTTCGTCAGAGCCTCTATTCCCATTTATTAATGTCAGAATTTGAAACTAGTATCTAACCAGTGCCTGTGGTTTCTGTGAGGTTTAAAACCAACCTCATGTTGTTGTTGCCAGGGCAACCAGATGGGAAGACATGGTATTATGTGGAAGAGCCTTCTGGAAAGGTCGTGGAAGAGGAGAGGGTAGTGGGGGGAGAGAATAAAATACAGAAATATATGATCCCTGTCCCTGCCAGTCTCCTCTCCCAGCCCTGGGATATGCAAGAGAAAAAGACTTGGTGTCCTGTTTGACTCAGAGTGAGACTTCAACCTAATTGGACATGGCATTTCAGTAAATGAGATTCCTGAATTTATATATTAATGAGTGTGTACTGAGTCTCTGCTCTCAGTGTAAGACAGGAAAAAGATCCAGTTTACCAAAGCTAATGTGCATGAGGCTCCATTGAAGCAAGAAGTATGGACAGGACTTTGGAGTTCAATGGCTACCAGGTGCTTCTGGGGCAAGTGGTGGTCAGGGCTAGACCAGGACCGCCCTACCCAGATGCCAACACCCACGGAATGTGATGGAAAGCACCCTCTTTTTTTTTTTTCCTTTTTGTCTTTTATTCGTGTCCGGCAACGGATCGCAACCCTCAGTGTCGCGCCCGTACCGGACCGGGACCGGCAACGGGATCGCAACCCTCGGTGTTGCTCCCACACCTCGCTCAGCCAGTGAGCGGCCGGTCTGTATGTGGGATCCGAACCCTCGGCGGGAGTGCCACCGCGCTCCCAAGTGGCGCACTGTAGCAGTGCGCCACCGGGCCGGCCCTGGAAAGCACCCTCTTGAAAGGCCCACCTTATTCTTTGCCTTGGGTTAAAACAGTGGTTCCAACCTTTTTTAGTTTTTGTTTATTTAACAAGTATTTGCCTAGTGCCTACTATGTGCTACACTGTGTTATAAGCACTTAGGATAAGCAGTGAAGAAAGACTTTTCCTTTTGAGGGATGGGCGTGGACAGTAAGCCCACAAGCAGACAAGATAAAGTCAGGGTGTGGTCAGTGCTCTGAGGATATTGTAGAACTGGGGGAAACAGGAGGATGGGTGTGGACAGGAGGGCTAAGGGCAGAGTGATTAGGAAAGGTCTCCCTGGGGAAGTAATCTGAGTGTGTGTCCTAGATGAGGAAAAGGAGGTGACTGGGGGCTGTTGGAGAAGAGAAGACCAAGAACAGGAAGAGCTAGGGCACAGGCCACAAAGGCTTTGGGGGATGGGCTGGAGTGATAGGCAGGTCAACACTTGGGTCAATAACGACAGTGTATATGAAGTGGTCGGAACAATGGGCTATGCCATATAGCCTAGGTGTATGGTAGGCTGTACCATCTAGGTTTATGTTAAGTGCACTCTATGATGCTGGCACAATGACAAAATTGCCTAATGACACATTTATTAGAACTATCCATGTGACACATGACTGTATATATAACTCTTGATGAATATTGCTTTAAAAAGGGACAGAGAAATGAGATAAGATGGTATCTGGGGCCTAGGGTGGGTGTTCCTTTAAGTGGGAAGATAACTAGACCATTGAATCTGATAGGATGCTCTCAGCTGCTTTAGAATCCTGATTTGAACTACCTTAAAAGGACTCTCACCAAGTTATGGGCCAAGTTAGAGTTTGGATTTTATTCGAATAAGAAAGGAGATAGAGGGTTTTAAACAGGGTAGTATAGTGACATGCTCTGGTTTACATTTTTAAAAGATATGTTGAGGAATGGATTGTGGGGTGGGGTGTGCAGCAAGATCAGAAACAGAGGAACACTTTAGAAGCTAATACATTTAATGCAGACCAGATGGAGAGATGATGGTTGCTCAGAATTGGGGTGGTAGCCATGGACACGAAAAGACGTGAATGGATTTGACACACACTGTGGAGTGTACCTGGTGGATTGCATGTGGTGGGTGAGGAATCAAGAATGACTCGGGTCTGGGTGGCAAAGGAAAGGGTGAATGGTAGTGCCATTTGCTGAATCCTGGAAAAGAACCAGTTTAGTTGTAGAAATCAAGTGTTCTACTTTGGACCTGTTAAAATTTGAGATGACATCCAAGTAGCAGTATCAAGTAGATGAACATAGGAGTCTGGAATTCAAGAGAGAGCTCAGGGCTAGATTGATCTGGGAGTTATAGGTTGCAATGACTTCCACCACCAGCTACCTGGAGCTGGGCCAAACTTCACAGATTGAGGGCACAGTCCTCTGTAAGACTGTCCTCACTTCAGACACCAGCAACAAGGTTGGGGTTCCCAGGCCACCCTCACATCTGACCAGCTGGCTATGAATTTGGGAGTTCCCACTGCCCCCTCAGGTTCAATAATTTTCTAGAATGCCTCACACAACTCAATAAATTTCTGTACTTGTAATTACAGTTTTATTATAGCAGAAGGATTCAAATCAGAACCAGCCAAGAAGAGACTGATAAGGCTAGGTCTGGGAGGGTCCTAAACACAAAGTTTCTGTTGTCCTCTCCCTGTAAAGTCAGGATGTGTCACCCTACCAGCACATCAGTGTGTGGCAATATGCACAGTACAGTATTGTCAACCAGGGTGGCTCACCTGAGCTTCAGTGTCTAGAGTTTTTATTGGGGTTTCTTTACATAGATATGATTAATTGAATTCTTGGCCATGAGGTTCAATTCAGTCTCCAGCTCCTCTCCACTCCCTGAAGGTTGGGCTCCAAGCCCCAACCCTTTAATCATGTGGTTGGTCCTTCTGGCATTGCCAGCCCCACCCTGAGTTATCTTGTTATCTTAAACCTCGGGGCCCACTGTGAGCCACCTCTTCAGTGTAAACCATCAAGGCCCGTCATGAATAACAAAGACATTCCTATCACTCAGGAAACTCCGAGGATTTAGAGGCTACTTCCCAGGAACCAGGGGAAAAGACTAGTCAAGGAATTACACATAGCTTGTTTTAAAGCTGAGGACTGTATGAGCTCTAGGGACAGTATAGACAAAGAATGAAAGAGATCCCAAGTCTGAGCCTGGTGAAAAACCAGAAGAGCATGGCCTCACAGAGGCTGGGAGAGAATTTCCCAGGGACGAGGGAGGGGCTGAGTGTGCAGGACAGGGAAAGGCTATTGGATTTGTCAAGTTGGAGATTGTTGGTGATTTTGACAAGAGTTGTTTCAGTGGAGTGTTGGGGAACACATGCCTGAGTGAAGAAGCGGTAAAAGCAAGCACAGTCATGTGCCACATGACAATGTTTTGGTCAACGTGGAGTGCGTATATGATGGTGGTTAGAGCAAAAGGTTATACCAAATAGGCTAGGTCTGTAGTAGGCTGCACCATCTAGGTTTATGTAAGTGTACGTTAGGGTGTTCACACAGTGATGAGGTCACCTAATGATGTGTTTCACAGAATGTGTCCCTGCCATTAAGTGACACATGATGATATAGATAACTTGATAAATACTGCTGTGAAAAGGAATGCAGGGGGCCGGCCCGTGGCTCACTTGGGAGAGTGCGGTGCTGATAACACCAAGGCCATGGGTTTGGATCCCTATATAGGGATGGCTCGTTTGCTCACTTGGGAGAGCGTGGTGCTGACAACACCAAGTCAAGGGTTGAGATCCCCTTACCGGTCATCTTTTAAACAAACAAACAAAAACAGAACACAGAAGAGTGATGAACTGGGGCAGAGGGCACATGGGGTCTAGGGAGGGTGTTTTTTTAGGTGGGGAAATAATTAGACCATTATAGCTCACTGGCTGAGCGTGGTGCTGACAACACCAAGTCAAGGGTTGAGATCCCCTTACCGGTCATCTTTTAAACAAACAAACAAAAACAGAACACAGAAGAGTGATGAACTGGGGCAGAGGGCACATGGGGTCTAGGGAGGGTGTTTTTTTAGGTGGGGAAATAATTAGACCATTATATCTGATAGGATGCTCTCAACTGCTTTAGAACCCTGATTCGAACTGCCTTGAAGAATAAAGAAATTTATTTTCTTGTATAACTAGAAGTCCTGTGGTAGTTCAGGTTCAGGCTTAGTTGATTCAAGGATGCAGCTATGTTTTCAAAAACCTGGGTTCTTTCCAGCTCTATGCTTGGCCATCCTTGGTGTGGCTTCAGCCTCAGGCAGGCAGCACAATAGCCACAGCTGTTTCTTTTCTTTTTTTTTTTTTTAAAGATGACCGGTAAGGGGATCTCAACCCTTGACTTGGTGTTGTCAGCACCACGCTCAGCCAGTGAGCAAAACGGCCATCCCTATATGGGATCCCAACCCAGGGCCTTGGTGTTATCAGCACCGCACTCTCCCGAGTGAGCCACGGGCCAGCCCAGCCACAGCTGTTTCAAGCATCACATCCAGACCCTGCAGGAAAAGGAAAGTCCATCTTTTCCTGCACACTCTAAGGGGTGAGAAAACCTTCCCAGAAGCCTCCAGCAAACTTCTCCTCACACTCACTGGCCAGAACTAGGTCATGTGCTTATATCTGAGTCAGTTACTACAGGGACTCAAAAGGAGAAGCACTTGTGGCCCTGCATAGGGTGGGGCTGGGGCAGCTAGAGGAGAAGGAGGCATGATGTAGTCATCGCAGACTGAAAGTGGAACCCACTAGGGACAGGAGCCAGGAGCCAGGAGCCAGGCTCCATGGAGGGCCCCTTGTGAGATTCGTGCAATTTCTGCAGCAATGTTCAGCTGCGTGAGTCAGTTGCAGACTGGGTTGTCCAGGCAAGTGCAGTCGAGGAGAGAGGAGCAAAGGCGTCCAGGATGTTTGCCAGCTAGTGACCGTGAGAGCCACACTGGGTCAGGAAGAGAGGAGGCTGGGGTGTTGAGCCTGATGGGATTGATGCTCATGCTGAGTTTGAAGAATTATCAAAGTAGGATTGTCTTGGGTTGGGTTTCCTGGGAAACAGTCCCTGGAGGTTTGTGTGTATGTGGTTTCTTTGCAAGCCTCTTGGGAATAACACCTGTGAAGGAGTGAGAGTGGCGGGCTTGGGTAGAGGGAACAGCAAAGACCTACAGAGGCCACAGCTGATCCAACGGGATGCTCTGGAGCTGTCATTAACCTCCTGAGACATCCTGCATCAAGGCAAGGAGAACTGTTTTGGCCTCTGCCCCTGGCAAGTGTCATATGAAGATGGTTCTCTGCCCAGTAAGTTTTGATTGGGACAGAGGGATGGGCTGGGCCAGTCTGTTTAAGGGCATCATTTAAGGAGGACAGGCCTCAGTCAGACACCGATGATCCTGGGGGTTTGGTGGAAACATGGCAGATGTGGCTGAGAAGTGGCCCCCAGGCAGCAGTTGGGCCCTGGGCAGAGGTGGGGAGGGAGTCCCCATCACAGTGTGATCAGGGTCCAGGTGCCATCAGATGCCGGGGCGGGACTCTCACCATCCTAGCTGCCACCCTGCCGGTCAAGGCAGATGCTGCTTGCTTAGTGGAAGCACGACTGCAAATCTGTCTGGTGGTTATGGGCCCAGCTCCCTGCATGTCATTCCCGGAGGCCTCTAGACAGGTTTTCACCTTGGATAAATTCTGGCAAATTCTTTCCATCTTGTTGAGAGATTCTCCCGAGATAAATTAGACTTGTCTTTGGGGCTACAATTAAATCTTATTTCAGGACAATAACACCTTCCAAAGTGACTTCTGGATAGCAGGCTCAGACCCCACAGAAATACACACAAGACAGACAGACATCCTAGGGTGTAATCCCTCCTGCTGCTCACCAGACCGGCAGCCAGGGGAGCAGAAGACGCCACAGGAGAAGGCTGCTGCCACTTCCAGGAGCTCCTTGGCTGATCCCAGCTGGCGTGTGATCGGCCCTCAGCGTTCTGGAGGGCTTTGCTGGCCTTCCTGCGTGCTACCCGCTTGACCTGCTGCGGGTGTTCTCCAGCAGGGTGGCTTTGGGCAGGTCAAAGGGCCACACATATCGTGACCGATCATCTTGTTCAAACCCCTCATTTTTGGAGAAACCGAGGCACAGATAGCCTGTGACAAGCACAAAGACACAGAGGAAATTAGTTGAAGACCTGGGCCCTCTCCCAGGGACGGTTTTGGGTTCGGGGCTTGAGCATTGTCAGCAAGTCACCTCTTCGTCTCCCCCCCCCC